TGTGCCGTTTTGCTGGCATTCATTTGAATGCACCATTTATTGGTCCAGTTAGCTAGGGTTTCAAGCATTATGCTTACTTTCTGTATAGCTGTGATGGATGATTCGTCGGCAAACATGACAACTGTATCATCAGCATATGTTGCCAGTAGGGCTGTTGAGTTGCGTGGGATATTGGTGTAGACTTTGTCTGGGGTGGGCATGTCTGCTGTGTAAATGGTGTATAGAATTGGTCCCTAGACGCTTCCTTGTGGCACTCCGGCAGAGATATATTTTGTGGTCGATCTGGCACCTTCATGGCATTCAACCATGAAGGGCGTCTGGGAGTATGGGCTTGAGTTTAAAGAAGAGTCCCGGATGCCAGACTCGGTCAAAGGCTTCTTGTATGTCTATAAAGACAACGGAACAGAATTGATTTTTTTCATAGGCTCTGAGTATAAATTGGGTGACTCTTGCTTGTTGTTGTTCGGTGCTATGCTCGTAGCGAAATCCGAATTGGTGGCTTGGAATATATTCTATGAATGTTTTGACTTTAAACATACGGCTTAATAGCAGTTTTTCTAATGTTTTTGATAGGCCTGAAAGTAGGCTAATGGGTCTGTATGAGGCAAGCTGATCAGTTGGTTTTCCTGGTTTGAGTATCATTGTGACTACAGCCGTTTTCCATTGCTGTGGAAAATGGCCGAGTCGAAGTGAGTTGTTGAAAATTAGTATGAGATATATTAGTGCAGGGTCTGGTAGGGCTTTAATGGTATAATTATCGATTCTGTCTAGTCCTGGGGTTTAATTATTAGGTAGTCTCTTGATTTGGGCCTTGATTTCTGCTAGGGTAATTGGTTTGAATATGTGGTTATTAGGCATTTGCTGGGATGCAATTTGATTTTCAATAAATGATCTTTCTTCTGGGCTATTGATAAGGTTTGGCTTGAATCTAGTCTCAAGATGTTGGGCAAATGCTTCTGCTTTTTCTGTGGTGGTTTTACACCAACTACTTTGTTTGTCCGGAGTATTTGTGTTAGTTTGTACTGTAAGTCGTCTTACAGGTAAGTTTGGCATTGGTTGCCTTTTTATTTGTTTGGTAAGCTTCCAGAGCTTCTGCAGACTATATCGATCTTTGGGATCTATGGCTAGAAGTGATCTATCTAGGCGTTGTGCTTTTCTATATTGGAGTGCTTTTTTGACTCTATCAGATGTTAGCTTATGGGGTCTTTTGGCTGAGTTATCTCTTAAAATAAGGTGATTGTATTTGAAGTAGCTTTTAACGATTAGCATATTTTGGATGCGTTTATTTGGGGTGTGATATTTGCGAAAACAGCTATTTGCTGGGAGATTTGTGGGCACATTTACTGCATATTTAGCAGCTTGGTGGATGTTTCTGGTTAGTATATCGACCGCATCATCTATGTCTTGACCAGTTGTTATCTCAGTGTTAAGATGAATACATTGGTTTAGCCTGTGGTGGATTTTTTTAATATTGGCATTTGGTGTTAAAATTTGTTTCTTATGGGAGACTATCACTGGTTTATTTAGTAGGTGGATACAAAGTGGGAGGTGACCTGAATCTAAATCAAGTGAGGATTAAATTTGTAGACGATTGTTTTGTATTCCACAGTATATGGCAAAATCAATAGCAGAAGGTCTTTTTTGCTGATCATAGGGGTAGTGAGTGGGTGAGCCTGTCGCCAGGATGTTATAGTTATGTGTCCTAATGCAGTTGATAAGTTCATTGCCTCGTCTGCAGGCACGGTCATTGCCCCACCAGCGGTGTTTGGCATTCCAATCACCGGCTAATATGAATCTAGGTTCGAATAGTTTAAATATTGTTTCAAAAGTTTTGGAAGTTAGGCCCTTCAATGGTGGGCAATAAATGGCAGCTATATTGATTAGCGGTTGATCTTTAAGGGCGATGCTGATTGGGATTGGTGATTGCTGGTAAGGCAATGTGTTCGATATTTCTATTAACTATGACAGCAGAACCTCCTCTTCTCCGGTTGGTTGGATGGTTGGCTATATATAGGTCGTATCCTTCAATTGTTATTGTATCTATATCCGAGTCAATTAGATGGGTCTTGGTTTGGTGCATTCGCTGGATGAGTGGGATCCGGCGCATTTAAAGCAAGTGGGGGTTTTACACCTGCAGTTTTCGTATGGATGTCCAAAGCGTTGACAATTATGGCATTGCTGGATTCTGATGGGACAAGTTGGTTGTTCAATTTGGACTTTGTATGTTCCTAGCATGGTGATTTTGAGGATGTCCTTGTTGTTGTTGCTAGCATATATGCATACAAACTATTTGAGGATTTAGCAAACATTGCATACAAAATTGGACGTGGCCCGCAGACTATTGTACATATATGTATGTGTTATACAATTTGATTACAATTTTACTATTGACAGTCATTGGTTGCAAACTTATCAATTGCCCATGGCAGGTATAATTTTACATTGATAATTTTGAGTGGACTAGACACCTATCTTCCAATTCTGGGTATATTTATAGAGTATAGATTGAAGTCCTTTGGGCGGTTGGCACTGGCACAGACAAATCGTAGGCTGGCATCAGATGATCACCGTTGGAGCTTTTGGTATTGACACATTATGTGTGTGTACACAATTTATACACATGCATAAGGCAGATCAGCGGCGGGCAAATACTCCGTATTTGAAATTTCTCTGATCATTGTAAGGCAATATGGGCTGCTCCAAAGGACAATCTGTTTATCCTTTGCTTATGCTCTTAGGAGTTGTTATGGGTTAAATCAGACGGGGATTCCAATTGATGCGTGGAACAAATTGCAAGTTTTCGTTTGCTGGATCTTGGGTGAGAGAAATATATTACTATTTTGTCTTGACACTGTGTAAATCGGTTGTGCTGTTTGTTGGTTTTGGGCTCATATTGGCTGAACTGATTGCATAATTGAGTTAGTAAGAGCATTTTTGGATTGCTTTGGCTCGCGATTGGTGGAGCAGTTGAGCTTATAAATGAATTTGTGCATGTAGTCACAGGCAGTCGAATATTTCGGTGAAATGTTTTGTCTAGTTAACAACCCAGAATCGGTTGTAGATGAAATAGCTCGTTACTTAAGCTGATTGAAATTAGATTGGTGTGTATGCACACAGGCTATTGGGGTATCTTGGTCTTGGTATACTTGCAACTTATTCATGTCAGTTATGACAGGCTCTATATGGCTGAGCTGTTTTTTATAGAAGTTTAGTTAGTGCATCTTTGCACTTACTTTAAGGCATTATTAAACTGACTATGCGATTTGTTGGTTATATTTAGTCTCACGTTGGCCGAGCTGTTGACTTGGTTCGCTTAATGATGTGGAATTGTGCCAGGCAGGTTTATTCAGTCTGTATTTATACTTATTTGGACGTTTTTGTGCGTGGGCAAATATTGGCTATCAATTTGAAGCCGGACTAAAGTTTGTCTAAGGAATTTGGTAGCCAAAAGCCAGTAGGCTGGTGAAGATATGTGTGTGCAAGTATAATTGTTTGTATTTGAAGGATTGGGAGACATGTGTACAAATAATATTGGTTGATATTTGAGAAAGAACAGACATTTTATGTATAACTTGGCTATGACCAGCTGACTATTATGTTTATATGCCTATGAACTCAATTGGTTTGTATTTTAAGGGTTCTTATGAAGATTACTGTACTCAGCTTTGGCAGAGCCCGTTTTAAATTGGAATTATTAAGAATCATTTGAGCAACTTTGGATATTTATGTGTATTTGCATGAATGCCTACACATACACACACACACACACACACACACAGACAGACACCGACTGATTGAGACTTTTAGGGACACTGCATTAATTTTCTGAACTTACACTTGCAGGAAATACCTTAATTTGCTTATTGAACACGCTTTAGGTTTATATCAGCAATAAATGCTTCCACTGTTAGTGTTTTAATAAGTTTAAACTTGCTCGATGTCTTTTTCAATTACCGCCAATTTTAAACCCACGACCACTTTATAGAGACAACTCGCAGCTTATGACAATTTCGAGACTATCGCCTAGCGGCGGCAGAGAGAAAAGTATCGTTTGAGATCAGCACGCCTGTCGCTGTATCGATATATCGACGATCACCTAGCAAAATGTTATCAAGCAAAATATGGATTATGAATTATATTTAAATTGGTGAAGAGTCAGGAAATTATGCTCAGTTTAGCAGTGTCAATCACAATTGTTGGGAAAATTTGGATATGTATATGCAATGTCGGCTATGTATATGTCGCTTTGGTTTTGGTATTAGTTTAAGTTTTAACATATTTGTTTTATAAATTTGTTTTGTTTTTTAGTTTGGTTTTGATTTTGGCTTTGTTTGTTCTTGGCTATTTTTAGTTTAAAACAGGTAAGTTTGAATGAGTTATATATGGTTTATTTTATTTAATTTCTTAGATAGGTAAGTTTCTAGTTTAACATATATGTTTGTTCTTATTTTGTTTTGATTTCTTAGGCTAGCTATTTGGTAGTCTTAACATATTTGTTTTTATTATATTTTGGTTTCTTAGATTACTTAGTTTCTAGTTTTAACATATTTGTTTGTTCTTATTTTGTTTTATTCCTTAGGCTAGTTATTTGGTAGTTTTAACATATTTGTTTTACTTTGGTTTTGGTATTAGTTTAGGTTTTAACATATTTGTTTTATAAATTTGTTTTGTCTTTTAGTTTAGTTTTGATTTTGGCTTTGTTTGTTCTTGGCTATTTTTAGTTTAAAACAGGTAAGTTTGAATGAGTTATATATGGTTTATTTAATTTAATTTCTTAGATAGGTAAGTTTCTAGTTTAACTTATATGTTTGTTCTTATTTTGTTTTGATTTCTTAGGCTAGCTGTTTGGTAGTCTTAACATATTTGTTTGTTTTTATTATATTTTGGTTTCTTAGATTACTTAGTTTCTAGTTTTAACATATTTGTTTGTTCTTATTTTGTTTAATTCCTTATGCTAGTTATTTGGTAGTTTTAACATATTTGTTTTATTGATATATTTGTTTTTGTATTTAGCTTTATTTTGGTACAGTTTAATGTTTACTTATGAGTTTGTCTTGCTTTTCAGCTTAGTTTTAATTTTTGGCTTCGTTTGCTTTTTTGGCTATTTTTAATTTTAGTTTAAACAGGTTAGTTTGTATATGTTGAATATGATTTGTTTTTATTAGGTTTCTTAGGTTGTTTAGTTGGTGGTCTTAACATGTATGTTTGTTCTTATTTTGCTTAGTTCCTTAGGCTAGTTATTTAGAAGTTTTTACATATTTGTTCGTTCTTATTTTGTTTTTATTTCTTAGGTTAGTTAATTGATAGTCTTAGCATATTTGTTTTATTTGTTTTTGGTGTTGGATTTAGTTTTATTTGGTATAGTTTTAGTGTTAACATATTTTGTGTGCTGTTCTTCAGCTTGGTTTTGTTTTGGCTTCGTTTATTTTTGGCTATTTTTAATTTTAGTTTAAACAGGTAAGTTTGTATAGGTTGAATATGGTTTGTTTTTATTTTATTCTTTAGGTTACTTAGTTTCTAGTTGATTTGTATGTTTGTTCTTTTTTTGTTTAAGTTGCTTGGGTTACTTAGTTTCTAGTCTTAACATATTTATTTGTTCTTATTTGATTTTAATTTCTTAGGCTAGTTATATTTGATAGTCTTAACATATTTGTTTTATTTGATTTTGGTTTTTAGATTTAGTTTTATTTTGGTATGGTTTAATGTTAATATATTATTTTGTGCTGTTTTTCAGCTTGGTTTTATTTTGGCTATTTTGGTATATACAGGTAAGTTTGTGTAAGTGGAAAATATGGTTTATTATTTTTTATTTCTTAGTTACTTAGTTGCTAGTTTATCATATATGTTTGTTTTAACTTTATTTTGTTTTCTTAGGCTAGCTATTTGGTAGTCTTATTATGGGAATACCCTCCTAGAGTTCAATATTATTTTCGGTTTGGTCTTCATTTCTGTTGGCCTCATCTGTTCTTTGTTGTGCTGCATTTTGGTGGTGAAAGTGATGATGGTTTAGGTGGTGATGGTGGTAGTGATGATGTTGGCGGTTCCTTGGGTGGGTTGGTGTCTTCACGTAATTTTTGCAGTGCCTCTTGGTATACATATGTAGCATCCTATCCATAAGGTACTGTGATCGCCTCCACAGTTGTCGCATTTGTCTTCTGTGTGTTTGGAATTTGGCCATTTTGTTGTGTGATGGCTGCTGGTGTATTTGGAGTCTTCCGCCTTGGTTTATGCTCTCATTAATGGGGGTGGCTTTAGTGATGCTAACTTGGCGGTTTCCGATTTGATTAACGTTTAGTATGTCTTGGTTGTTTTCCTTTACTTTCAGTTCAACACTGTAGGTGGATGTTCGGCGTTGGGTTGTGTGGGCTCTTATGTTGCTTATGGCGATTACTTTGTGCCCAAGTTGGGCGAGTCTTGGTAGTATCCATTTTGGGTGTGTGTTTGGGTGTAGGCCTTTAATGGTGACCTTGTAGTTTTGAGGCTCTTGTTGAATCTCCTCTGTGTATGTATCCTTATGTAGGCGGCTGCGGAGTTTTAGAAGGGCTTCGTGCTTTTCCATTGTGGTACATACAAATCTGATTTCGTCAGGCCTGGTGTAGAATCCATCTTCTCCAACTTCGGTTTCAGCCAATCTAACGAGTCTACCCACATTTTGGACTTTTGGGACGACAATGTATGGTATTGTGGCGTTGTTTTCGCTGCGTGCTCCGCTCATGTTGATCGAGCTGTTTTATGGAAAAGAGATAATATGGCTTTAGTAACCGGTAAGTTTTTGTTTTACTGGTAAGCAATTGGTTCAATGGTTTTCTTGTGTTTTAACAGGTGAGTTTTAATTTTTTACAGGTAAGTAAGTGGCATAATTTGTTTGATATTGTTATTGGGTATTATACAGTATTTAATTAGTGTGTGTTTAGTTAATAATTTTGTTTATTATTGATAAAAGTGTATATCCGTCCGGCAATGGCCGGCCGTTGCCATAATTGCTTATGCTTAAGCGAAAAAGTTTCGGAATGGCAATGCCGAGCATTATGGAAAATTTTTAGCCTATATATGTGTTTGTATGTACATGCACGTCAGTGTTGGCTTTGACGCCAGAATTTTTTCGCCATTATGGTGGCGTCTATTTTTGTTTTTTGGCGCGTCAGTATACCGACCATTTTGGGTACTATGATACAGAGAATTTTTGTGACTTCTATGGACAACTTTGAATTTTGGGTGGAAAATTACGCTAATTATTATGGGATTTTGGGCTTTTTTAGCTATTAATTTCCACTTATAGTCTGGTAACTGGGCCTTGAATGCTTACAAACACATATGCATTGGTTATTTCATAAGTAAGGGACACGGACAAAGACAGGCTATTTTCAGTAGTGGTGGAATTTTTATTTCGCGCACTCATTTCGGGTTTATATGGACCGTTTTGAAAGTGTTAAACATGTATATTTTTCTGGGACTTACGCTTTTGGCTGCTGTTGGTTGATTTTATGAATATGTATGTTGGTTCCGCTTTTTGGTTACACTTTAGGTTTTGTTTTTGACAGGTTGTCAGCACTATGTTGTGTTTTAGTTTATAAGTTTTTTCACTGGTTTTTAGATTTGTGCACTTTAAACAGTTTATGTTCACTTCCAAGTTGTTGACCGCTCACTTTGACTATCGTCGACTTATGGCTGTCCCTGGGAACGTCATCTTGGAGATCGATTGTATCGATTGATTGATCGTTGATCGCTGGGGCAAAATATCGCATTGGTGCGTGCTATTTGGCTGCTTGGGTGTTGGAATGGTGCGAACTGGAACAAAATTATCTAGCCGTACGATTGTTGTTTGTTTGGAAGTGCTTAATATATTATGGCACAGTATGGATAGACTTATTGGTTATGATTTTTTCAGGTACAATTTAAATCGGCTGTGTACTTGTTTGTATAATATGATAATTTAAGTGGCTCGTTTTGGCTGAGTTGTGGTACTTGGTATGACATGGCATCAGAATTGAGAATTTTAAACAGATTGGTACTTTGAGACTGGCCTATTCGAACCATACATATGGGAATGCATTAAATTTGGAATAAGTTTGAAATTTGTATGTAGACACACACTGACATTTGCCCAGAGATGGGTATGCAAGTGTATGTACAATTAATTGGGCCCATGGAATATTGGCTAACAAATTGTTTTGCATTGCAGTGGCCAGCAGCGGATAGGGTATAGGTTAACAATTTAAATGGCCTAATTTTGAGACGAATTTGGATATGGAGATGGATTTGAGTCCTTTGGAGCGGTATCACCTTCAGCGCAGTCTTATTTTAGGCCGGCATCTGGTATCCGCTGGAGCGGGGGCGATTGCAACTCATATGCATGTGCGCACATTTTACACACAAGCATATTTTGGATCGGCTGCAAGCAAATGCATTGTTTACATTTAAATTGGCAGGTGATCATGAGGTTCGCAATGCTAGGCTCTTTAGGACGATCTGAATATAGATAGGTATTAGCCAGGCACCATACATGTAAATTTACTGCTTGGGTACAAAGTCCCAGCTTCAATTCACCTGGCAGTCCTCCGCTTATCTCAGAGAGAATGTTCCGATTTGGCTCCGGAATGCGTACTTTTGGTATGCTCGGTATTTGTGGGATAGAGAAAAAGTGTTATTATTGGTGGTGCACAATATATATACTGCACCACTATGTTTCCTACTTGCACCCACCTTTGGCTTTAATTCTCATTATACATGTTTGTAGATGTCTCTTTTTGTATTATGCATGTTTGTAAATAGCTTGTTTTGCATATTTTTAGTGGTTTGGCGTTTGTTTTAGCTGAAGCTAGTGTTTTGGTGGTCAGGTGGCTGATATTTGGCTCGTTTTGGCTGAGCTATGGTATCTGGGATGACATGGCATCAGAATTGGGAATTTTAAACAGATTGGTACTTTGAGACGGGCCTATTCGAACTATACATATGGGAATGCATTCAATTTGGAATAAGTTTGAAATTTGTATGTAGACACACACTGACATTTGCCCAGAGATGGGTATGCAAGTGTATGTACAATTAATAGGGCCCACGGATTATTGGCTAACAAATTGATTTGCATGGCAGTGGCCAGCAGCAGACAGGGTATAGATAAACAATTTAAATGGCCTAATTTTGAGACGAGTGGAGATATGGAGATGGATTTGAGTCCTTTGGAGCGGTATCACCTTCGGCGCAGTCTCATTTTAGGCCGGCATCTGGTGGTATCCGCTGGAGCGGGGGCGATTGCAACTTATATGCATGTGCGCACATTTTACACACAAGCATATTTTGGATCGGCAGCAGGCAAATGCATTGTTTACATTTCAATTAGCTGGTGATCATATGATTCGCAATGCTGGGCTCTTTTAGGACGATCTAAATATATAGAAAAGTATTAGCCCGACACCATACATGTAAATTTACTGCTTGGGCACAAAGTCCCAGCTTCAACTCAACTGGCAGTCCTCGGCTAGATACTTATCTCAGAGAGAATGTTCCGATTTGGCTCTGGAATGCGCACTTTTGGTATGCTGGATGTTTTGTGGGATAGAGAATGAGTGTTATTATTGGCGGTGCACAATATTAATCGGTTGTGTTGTTATTGTTAAATGGGCATATTTGGTGTGTTTGGGCACAATTGGATCTGGCTGCGCAGTTGTATGTTGGTTTAAATGGGCATATATGGATTTTAGGCTTAATATAAATCGGCTGTGCTGTTTGCGGCTGGTTTGGGGCAGTCGCGGGGTCGAGAGCTTCCGGGTAGGTTCTGTCAGTGTTAGCGGTGCCGCGCACGAGGCACTGCACCACTATGTTTCATCATATGCACCCACCCTTGGCTTTCATTCTCATTATACATATTTGTAGATGGCTCTTCTTGTATTATACATGTTTGTAAATAGCTTGTTCTGCATATTGTTAGTGGTTTGGCGTTTGTTTTAGCTGAAGCTAGTTGTTTGGTGGTCGGGTGGCTGATATTTGGCTCGTTTTGGCTGAGTTGTGGTATTTGGTATAACATGGCAGCAGAATTGAGAATTCTAGGCAATTTAATGCTTTGAGACGGGCCTATTCGAACTATACATATGGGAATGCATTACATTTTGGAATGAGTTTGAAATTTGTATGTAGACAGACACTGGTATTTGCCCAGAGATAGGTATGCAAGTGTATTTACAATTAATTGGGCCTATGGCAGCAGGCAAATGCATTGTTTACATTTGAATTAGCTGGTGATCATATGATTCGCAATGCTGGGCTCTTTTAGGACGATCTAAATATATAGAAAAGTATTAGCCAGGCACCATACATGTAAATTTACTGCTTGGGCACAAAGTCCCAGCTTCAACTCACCTAGCAGTCCTCGGCTAGATACTTATCTCAGAGAGAATGTTCCGATTTGGCTCCGGAATGCGCACTTTTGGTATACTGGATGTTTTGTGGGATAGAGAATGAGTGTTATTATTGGCGGTGCACAATATAAATCGGTTGTGTTGTTATTGTTAAATGGGCATATTTGGGATATTAGGCACAATTGGATCTGGCTGCGCAGTTATATGATGGTTTAAATGGGCATATATGGATTTTAGGCTCAATATAAATCGGCTGTGCTGTTTGCGGCTGGTTTGGGGCAGTCGCGGGGTCGAGAGCTTCCGGTTAGGTACTGTCGGTGATAGCGATGCTGTACACGAGGCACTGCACCACTATGTTTCCTACATGCACCCACCCGTGGCTTTCATTCTCATTATACATGTTTGTAGATGGCTCTTTTTGTATTATACATGTTTGTAAATAGCTTGTTTTGCATATTGTTAGTGGTTTGGTGTTTGTTTTAGCTGAAGCTAGTTGTTTGGTGGTCAGGTGGCTGATATTTGGGTCGTTTTGGCTGAGCTATGGTATCTGGTATGACATGGCAGCAGAATTGAGAATTCTAGGCAATTTAATGCTTTGAGACGGGCCTATTCGAACTATACATATGCGCACTTTTGGTATACTGGATGTTTTGTGGGATAGAGAATGAGTGTTATTATTGGCGGTGCACAATATAAATCGGTTGTGTTGTTATTGTTTAATGGGCATATTTGGGATATTAGGCACAATTGGATCTGGCTGCGCAGTTATATGATGGTTTAAATGGGCATATATGGATTTTAGGCTCAATATAAATCGGCTGTGCTGTTTGCGGCTGGTTTGGGGCAGTCGCGGGGTCGAGAGCTTCCGGTTAGGTACTGTCGGTGATAGCGATGCTGTACACGAGGCACTGCACCACTATGTTTCCTACATGCACCCACCCGTGGCTTTCATTCTCATTATACATGTTTGTAGATGGCTCTTTTTGTATTATACATGTTTGTAAATAGCTTGTTTTGCATATTGTTAGTGGTTTGGTGTTTGTTTTAGCTGAAGCTAGTTGTTTGGTGGTCAGGTGGCTGATATTTGGGTCGTTTTGGCTGAGCTATGGTATCTGGTATGACATGGCAGCAGAATTGAGAATTCTAGGCAATTTAATGCTTTGAGACGGGCCTATTCGAACTATACATATGGGAATGCATTACATTTTGGAATGAGTTTGAAATTTGTATGTAGACAGACACTGGTATTTGCCCAGAGATGGGTATGCAAGTGTATTTACAATTAATTGGGCCTATGGCAGCAGGCAAATGCATTGTTTACATTTGAATTAGCTGGTGATCATATGATTCGCAATGCTGGGCTCTTTTAGGACGATCTAAATATATAGAAAAGTATTAGCCAGGCACCATACATGTAAATTTACCGCTTGGGCACAAAGTCCCAGCTTCAACTCACCTAGCAGTCCTCGGCTAGATACTTATCTCAGAGAGAATGTTCCGATTTGGCTCCGGAATGCGCACTTTTGGTATGCTGGATGTTTTGTGGGATAGAGAATGAGTGTTATTATTGGCGGTGCACAATATAAATCGGTTGTGTTGTTATTGTTAAATGGGCATATTTGGGATATTAGGCACAATTTGATCTGGCTGCGCAGTTATATGTTGGTTTAAATGGGCATATATGGATTTTAGGATCAATATAAATCGGCTGTGCTGTTTGCGGATGGTTTGGGGTAGTCGCGGGGTCGAGAGCTTCCGGGTAGGTACTTTCGGTGATAGCGATGCCGTTCACGAAGCACTGCACCACTATGTTTCCTACATGCACCCACCCTTGGCTTTCATTCTCATTATACTTGTTTGTAGATGGCTCTTTTTGTATTATACATGTTTGTAAATAGCTTGTTTTGCATATTGTTAGTGGTTTGGTGTTTGTTTTAGCTGAAGCTAGTTGTTTGGTGGTCAGGTGGCTGATATTTGGCTCGTTTTGGCTGAGCTATGGTAACTGCTATGACATGGCAGCAGAATTAAGAATTCTAGGCAATTTAATGCTTTGAGACGGGCCTATTCGAACTATACATATGGGAATGCATTACATTTTGGAATGAGTTTGAAATTTGTATGTAGACAGACACTGGTATTTGCCCAGAGATGGGTATGCAAGTGTATTTACACTCAATATAAATCGGCTGTGCTGTTTGCGGATGGTTTGGGGTAGTCGCGGGGTCGAGAGCTTCCGGGTAGGTACTTTCGGTGATAGCGATGCCGTTCACGAAGCACTGCACCACTATGTTTCCTACATGCACCCACCCTTGGCTTTCATTCTCATTATACTT